CATCATCATCATCATCATCATCATCATCATCATCATCATCATCATCATCATCACATTCATCATCATCATCATTGAAAAAACTAAAGTAGGCAAGAAGAGTCATCTGCCGTCAATTGTGTAACTATTAGGCTCTTCGTCGTCCCACCAAAGAGACCTGAGTTCGATTTACGAGGGAGAGAATCTTTATAGAGTATCTCAGTTTTTCCAGTGGGATGTTGTATCCCTGTCAGCCCAAGATGGCTCTTAAGCAAGCTTCCTAAATGATTTAAAATGTGTCGATGGGGGCGTAAAAATACCGGTATTAAAGAAACACAAACGAGATGAACGAGTCTAGAATAGTTTTCGGTCAGTGAATGTAAAGTACAAACAAAATTGGTTACCAAACGGCTCAAATGTCATGAAGGCCTCTTCAGGACAAATATCTCAATGTCTGTTGCTTCTATCGCTGTCAAGAACTTAAATAATGATGAAATCCTTACCATTCCGACTGATTTTAACATTTTTTTAAACTTTTAGAAAAAATATCATATCTCTCGTAACAGAGTCTTCTTCTTCTTCTTCTTTACGTTCCCGACCCTAGCTAGATCTCAGGGGTAGTCGACTGCTGATTTTCAACCTGCAGTGCAACTGATATTTACGAATGTAAAGGCCTTTTATCTTCAGGTAGCCACATTCCGATTTCAAAAGCACTCTCCATGTTTTTAAAAAAATGCTGACAAGAGTATTTTTAGTTTTAGTAGGAGATTATTTTGAATCTTGCTCGTATGACTGCCGAAACCTACTCTTGTCGATTTTGGGACCACCAATAGACCTTTAATGTATGCAAAGTGCACACGGAACCTACGAGATTTTATTCCCTTGTCCGAGAAGGCTAGGTGTTCGATCTTACCTACCTTAAGATCAGGGCGTAGCTGAAAGACAGCAGTAAAGTAGAACGAGTCATGAAGAAAGGAGAAAGAAGCCCAGAGGAGTGGGGGCAGAAAGTGGAGATAAAAGCAGATTATAGAACTTGACTAAAGAACAGGAAGGAGGTGAAAATAAAACATTTTAAAGAATAAAATCTTTCGTCGCTATTAGGTTTCGAACCTTTGACCTATTAAATGAGAGGCGAACACCATACTTTTAGACTGCAAGAACCTCCTCATAAGACATTGACATTTCCTGCAACCAACAATATTTCGTATTCGTACCATTATTCAAATCACACACACACACACACACACACACACACACACACACACACACACACGCGCGCGCGCGCGCGCGCGCAATCAAAATGAAGAAAACAAACCATTTACTTCTGAGGTCGCAACTGGAGATGGTGGCAGGTTTAGGTCTGCTGTAAAGGGTGTTTTTGTTGATCACCAGGTGATCTTTAGCGTGCGCAACTTGCACACAAGACCTCCGATATTTTTCGCCCTTTTCCGAGAAGGTTAAGTGTTGAGCTTTCCTACCATAAGATCAGGTATATGGCTTACAGACAGAGGTAATAAAGAGCCAAGGTGTAGCAGTAGAAAGGCTGCAGAAGGAGGGAGCCCAGAGGAGGGGGCAAAGTAGGTGAAGGGGTGGGGGCAGAAAGTGGTGACGAAAGCAGACGAACAGAACAATGCCAGAGAGCAGGAAAGGAGGAGAAAGGAGATAATTTTATAGACGAAAAATTTCCGTCGCTGTACGGATTCGAACCAGGGACCTATTTGAATTAGAGGGGAACACCTTAACCTCTAGGCCACAATATCCTCCATATATTTACACACACACACACACACACACACAC